TATGTCGGCACTTAATTTGATGCCACGGGAGAAACACAGGTTCCAAACGTCCGGGGACGGTGAGGTAGCCTAGCGGTTAAAGCGTCCGCTCGTCACGCTGAAGACCCGGGTTCGATTCCCCAAATGGGTACAATGTGTGAAGCCCATTTCTGGTGTCCCCCGCCGTGATATTGCTGGAATATTGCTAAAAGCGGCGTAAAATCATACTCACTAACTCTAAACGTCCGTTGTGCCAAAGTCATCGTGTAAAGTAAAGTCCATAAGTTGCGTCAGAACCCTATATCTGTGGAACTGAACCTCAGTTCCTATCGGATTAGATTTCTGGGTTTATCAGCACCCTAAGCTCTTGGGTTTCAACGAAACGGTGTAGGTCTAAGATCTGGATCACTGCGGGTTTCCCTCCCACGTGTAACAGACCCGTATGATGTAACGGAATACTGTTCAAAGAGACCTTCTCAACTCACTCACCAACCGAAGAGGCTGATACTACGATGTTACTACCGTGTCTCCGATGAACGTCGGGGGCGGTGGGGTAGCCTAGTGGTTAGCGTTCGCTCGTCACGCTGAAGACCCGGGTTCGATTCCCCACATGGGTACAAAGTGTAAAGCCCATTTCTGATGTCCCCCGCTGTGATATTGCTGGAATATTGCTAAAGGCGGCGTAAAACGAAAGTCACTCACTGATCCTATGAACGTCTTGCGTGTGCATGTACCTCATCAGGCTGCTATAGGTTGAGAGATAAAAGATTTGAACTGAAGTGTCAGCGGTTATCTACCCAACGTCATGAAAAACCAATCGAATCAATACGCTTTATGCACGGTATATGAGGGTAGTGATCAATCGGATATGGCCCGCAGTGACTCACTCACATAAAACTATACGCGAATCATTGTCTAAAAATAGTTTGCAATGCTATTGTACACGTATTCTCAATGTCTATATGCATCCAAACAGGTGTTTGAAATTTCAGACTTTATTATATCGCGTCCTTTGATCGATGCGTGCTTGTGAATGTGCGCGTGTGCCTGCGTGTCTTGTGTGCGTGCGTTTACAAAGCGTAGGTTACCGTGTGTGTGTGCTTCCCAGGATACCAATATGATACATCACCATTTTGTCTTTGTTTTGCCCTTTAGCCTGTACCGTCCCACCACGTGTGTGCGTGTGTTGTCCCAATCATAATAAGCCGTACCATCCACTAAGCTTTGTCCACTGTCTTAGCAGCATGAGGGACGATAGGGTAGCCTAGTGGTTAAAGCGTTCGCTCGTCACACCGAAGACCCGGGTTTGATTCCCCACACGGGTACAATATGGGTTCTGGTGTCCCCCGCCGTTATACTGCTGTACTGATGGAATATTGCTAAATGCGGCGTAAAACCAAACTCGCTTACGTCACTTTGCATGAATCAGACTGGTTCTACACACTATGTCACGACAGTTTGTCTAACGCTGATCGACAGATATACACCGGCTTTATCTCACTATTGTCGATCCCAATACAAACCAGGCTAGCCATGCAGTGTAAGGTTGTGAACAACGGACACTCTATAGAAACTTAACTTGCTGATTGCTGTATCGCATGTCGTAATCAATGTCGATATACTCCATGAGTTCGACTCCCGAAAATGTGAGACCGGAGCCTTAGCCCCTACACGACATGGCCGCTGTATATGCATCAGATCTTAATCAGTGTTCATATAAAATGATCAAAATGGCTGGCAATATCGGTATAATGGTTTGCCATATTACCACATTTGAAAAACAAACCAACACATTTCTGCTATATGCCATATTACCCCATTCAAACGCTTGCTGAAGACCCTCCCGTTCTCCTCTCATGATAACTAACTATATTTCCCTCCCTGTACATATGTATATATATACTTGTAACATGTCAGAGCTTTGAGCACGTGCCTTGTACATGGAAAAGGTGCATTACAAATGCACATTCATTAGTATTTAATATTATTATTATTGACCATAACCAATGTAGTCATTGTTCAAATGCTATAGAAACAAGACCCCACCTCTTTTATGATTGTAGTAAGGTTACCCATATGTGGCAGAAACTCCAAGATTGGCTAAATGATAAACTGGATTCAAATTTAAATTTCACAAGACAACAAATTCTTCTTGGATTCCGTCGTAAACATAACGACCCAATTAATGTGATCAGGTAGTCAGCTAATAGTCAGGTTTGAACGTTTTCGGGAATTCAAAGTCTATCTGTAATATCTAAACATGTACGTTTTGGACTCAGACTTTGGCGCTGCCTTTCAAAAAAAGTATCTGGAAATTGAATTTAATAAAAACAATTATAAAAGGCATCAAAACGTTTGTTGACGAAATATTTCACGCTCAAATGACCATTTTCCTTCGTTTAATGTTTAGCCAACAAAATGGCGTATATGTTTTTTGCCTGGCAGTTCAGTTAGGAACTGTACAAACGTGTGGTCAAAAATCTTAATCTTTAGTCATGATTAGATATTATCTTGAAGTTCGAAACACCGTCCCTACCTCGGCACCTAAAACATGATTATGCCTTTGATTATATCGGGGCCCGATACCTGCATGTGTACACGGAAGAGGATCGCGATATCTCGTCCTTTCATATAATATATGCCGTTGAAATTGAATTGCATATTTTGTAAATATATTCTTTGAACCGAATGTCATGGAAACTGATCATTAAGTGAGACATTAGTGTGTGAGTATGGTTTTAGGTCGCATTATATCAAATTTCAGCAGATGGGCTTCAGTATGTGTACCCGTACTGGGATTCCAACTTGGGCCTTCGGCATGACGAACGAACATTTTCACCACTAGAGTGAGTGAGTGAGTTGGGTTTTACGCCACTTTTAGCAATATTCCAGCAATATCACGGCGGGGGACACCAGAAATGGGCTTCACACATTGTACCCATGTGGGGAATCGAACCCGGGCCTTCGGCGTGACGAGCGAACGCTTTAACCACTAGGCTACCCCACCGCCCCTTCACCACTAGAATATGTATGTATGTGTGTGTGTGTGCGCGCGCGCGCGTGTGTTTTCTATGATGGTTATTCGGCCATGTCGAACAATAACAAGTAAATTACCATTATGCCGCTTATCACGTGGCTCAATAAAGATGGACACGCGCCATTGCATGTTTGTACGGCCGATACAGAGATTACATGTTCAAGAGATTATTTGTCACGATTTAAAACATATGGAGGATTACTAGATTGTATCTCATATATCCTTGTTACACACAAGTACAGACAAACTGGTTTTATGTATCAGGAGGATATGTCATTATAACATAACTGCCATTTACACCCTCGTATAATCTCGCCAGAGACGAGTTCTACACGCATAGCTTGCTGGGTCATGTTTTATAAATTCGGCAACCCTACGTCGGTTCTAGAGGTGATTTAAAAGCTCTCAGTATATAACAAAGATGAATATAGCAAATTTTCTTTTAAAACTAACTCGGATCAATTAAGAACGTCTAAGACAAAGCGGAATAACGAAATATGGAAAAGTGGAAACCGACGTGTCGGACATGGCAAAGAAGGCGATATAGCGAAATCTTGTATGAAACTAGGAGCAATGTAGTAAATAGATTCCATAGTAAATAGACTGGCGAAAAATGGTTAAATGAATGTTGGGTTTAAGCAGTGCTTCAACGAAGGCATACATAGCGACATATCAGCTAATATAAGACCAGTTGTAACGATTATTACTCTCTGAAGAGTGAGTGAGTGAGTGAGTGAGTGAGTTTAGTTTTACGCCGCACTCAGCAGTATTACGGCTATATGGCGGCGGTCTGTATACAATCGAGTCCGGACCAGACAATCCAGTGATCAACATCATGAGCATCGATCTATGTAATTGGGATATGATGACACGTGTCAACCAAGTCAGCGAGCCTGACCACCCGATCCCGTTAGTCGCCTCCTACGACAAGCATGGGTTACTGAAGATCAATTCTAACCCGGGATCTTCACGGGTAACTCTCTGAAGAGAAGCCTTCGGTACAGCGAGCAGAGATTCCGAGCAGTTCCCTACAACCGGTTTTAATTGTGAAGTATATGTATTTTTTACACACATGCATAACATGAATATTGTTCTTTCTTTAGATACTGCATACGTCATAAAAATTCTTGTATTTATTGGGAGGACAGAAACGACAATGGTAATCTGAAAATGAATATAAAGTTTTTAACTCAAACTTAAAACATTTAAAGTGCCAGACAAAAGAAAAGCCACCAAACAAAATTGGGATTTGACACCAAAATTATAAACGTTTTAAAAAACCTATTGGTTGAAAAGTAGATATAAACCGCTGGACAGTATACACTTGGATTTGACAATTGGATGTGGCCAAACATTGCAAACGTTATCCAATTGTTTCTAGTCTGAATTGTGTGATACTCTTTGATATAATGTTATATCCCCAGGGCCTCACGTGTCATATTCGTCACCATCGAATAACAATTTCTTGTATATTTCCTTTAAGCCAATTTTAAACACATGTGTATACTTTCTTTGATCGCAAGTTTACATTGGGTATATCAAAATGGCCTTGTTCATATTAAAATATATTGGTTTAACTTCCTAAATACAGTATGTCAAGTCGGTTCGACATTGTAATTGATTCGAGATACAACCATGTGCATATTCATATTCACATGTTTGTACGCATATATTTTTACCATTATCAATAGATCATGTCAAAATCAAAACATACACACTCCATGCATTTTGAAGCATAAAGACTTAAAGACGACTTGGCTGCATATGGGGTCTACCGTAGCAAATACCTACATTGAGTTTGTCGACGTGTCACTTCATTAAGAGATACAGCCATACATATTCATATTCACATGTTTGTACGCATATATTTCAATAGTGTCAATAAAACATGTCAAAATCAAAACATACACACCTCATGCATTTTGAAGTATAAAGACTTAAGACGATTTGACTGCATATGTGGTCTACCGTAGCAAATACCTACATTGAGTTTGTCCATCATGCGAGTGGTCAACGCGCCGTCCGGAAAGTCCTCAAAGTCCACCATATAAAGAGAATCATATTTTCTGTACGACCTCTTAGATCCCGCCGTGGAAGGAAACAATTTCTTGCTGTCATCATTCACAAGTCGTAAATGATGAGCAATCCAGTTTCCGGCAGGAAATTTATCGACATCAAGTTCCGCCATCTTTAAAAATCTCACTGGAAGGTGAAAGTGATCAAGGCTGTCTAATTCCAAACTTTCAACTACAGTTAGTGAATTCACATTGTAGAAAGTGCAAACCCGCTACGTTTCCTATTCCCCGTTATGTCCTAACGGTAGTTCAGACTAGAGTGTCGGTATTGTTTCGCTACCAGGTAGATCTCGACCCGTTGCCACGAGCGACTGAGAGCTCCCTAGCAGTGCGATTTATGGTTCGATCCCGAGTATGGAGATCAGATCGTGTTAATAGATCTGGTTCGGTGTGAGTGCTCACTAAGCCGCGGCCTCTCACCCGTAACGTAGCTCACAGAGCTCACGTACTTCACAATCATACACACATTATAAACAATAATGCTACAATCTAGCAAATCCTAAAGCCGGTTCGGGGCAACAAAGGATTATGGGTATTTGAGGAATAATCACGTGGATTATCTAAGGGGTGCTCCTATAGCTACGACCCGTAAGGTCATTAAAAGCTATGGGCCTCGTTGCGTTTAAAATCAAAGCTTTAAGACACTTGTTTTTCGCTGCCTGCGACGGTGGAATGGATAGATCTGTTGTACTCCGTCTATAATGACTTTTTGAACATGCTAATGTTTTAAATTATGTCTCCATTATTTGATCGTCATTATATGTGTCCACGTTACCTACAGTTGGAGCGGTAGCCTAGTGATGAAAGCGTTCGCTCGTCACGCCGTAGGGGCGGTGGGGTAGCATAGTGGTTAAAGCGTTTGCTCTTCACGCCGAAGGCCCGGGTTCGATTTCCCAATGGGTGTAGCAAGTAACTGGCTCGGATGGGTGTAGCAAGACTCCGTGATATTGATTGAATATTGTTAAAAATGGCTGCAGCACATCTGTCATCATGTAACTTACGTCCCGATAAGTCAAGACTCAATATAAAGAAAATGCTACGTTGTTTTAGTAAACATGTATGTTGCAATTGTAAATAAACAAATTATCTGATACTGTTCTTACACATATAATGAGTTCACAACTTATTGTTGTAAGTGAGGCATAAAATATAATACAATAAAAATGGAGACCAGGGACTTTCTTCATTTTATGACTTGCCACACATTCTAGACTTGCATGGGCTGCGATGGGTATTTTTGGTTCAGGGTCTGTCTGACAGACTGGGGCTGGTACAATCTCTGGTGCTGTCTAGACTGGACTACGGAAACAGCAAGCTCTTGGGTATGTCCAAATTATCACTTCGAAAGCTCCAGAAAATTTAAAATGTCTCAGCCAAGATCATATCGAAGACATCCAGATTTGATCACATCACCCCTGTGTTGGTGTCCTTGCACTAGCTCACAGTAGAAGCAAGGATTCAGTTTATAGCTCTGTGTCTGGTGTACAAGTTACACCATGGTCAAGCTCAATCATACCTGCCCGGTCTGCTCCAACACTACACACCAGTAGGGGTGACTATTGAAGGGGAAACAACTATTGCGATAGCGATAGTCTATTGCAACATACTGGGGCGGTGGGGTAGTCTAGTGGTTAAAGCGTTCGCTCGTCACGCCGAAGACCAGGGTTCGATTCCCCACATGGGCACAATGTGTGAAGCCCATTTCTGCAACATACTATTGCCGTGATATTGCCATAATATTGCTAAAAGCGGCGTAAAACCACACTCACTCAATACTATTGCGAAAGCCATAGTCCATTGCGATGGCCAAGCCTCCAACTATTGTAATACTATTGCAATATTTTTTTCTCCTTGAACTGTCTAATTTGAAATCATTTCCCAAATGACTGTATAGTTTATATGAAATAAAAACAAGTTGAAATAGTTTCAGTCTCTTTTAATAACTGACAAGAAACAAGATCAAGTAAACAGTTAAAACAGTTAAACTCAGTGAAGCTGCAAGTCCGCACCCAAACAATAACAAAATACAAAACATGTTTTATTCCATTTATCAGGGATGGCAACAGGAAAATCTATTTTCAGCTGAAAACTTAATATTGTGTCATCGAGTTGAGGGTTTCTCAATGGATTTAGACGATTCACAATTGAACAATTTGAAGTAAAATCCGCGGAAATACGCGGATTAGCGGAAAATTGCCATCCCTATTTATCCATGGAAGTCAATTACTAAACTGTCGAAGATCATATACTTTCGATGCATCGACAGTTTTTCGTTTCTACCATCGATTAATTGCTATCGGAGACTCAACAATTGCAATCCATCGATAATTCGATGCATCGTTACAGCCCTACAAACCAGCTACATCACTTTGCTCATAACCCCAGTGTCGTCTTATAGTTCCAAATTTCAAGTTAGCAACTTTTGGCGGAAAATCCTTCCCTGTCCTGTCAGCAAAATTGTAGAAAGAACTGCCCTCTAACTTAAGTCATGCCCCATCATTTGATTCATTCAGAACTCAGCTCAAGACCTATTTGTTCAGACCATCTTATGATCTTTGGACCCGTGAAGGTCCGGGTTAGAATTGATCTTCAGTAACCCATGCTTGTCGTAAGAGGCGACTAACGGGATCGGTGGTCAGGCTCGCTGACTTGGTTGACACATGTCATCGGTATCCCAGTTGCGTAGATCAATGCTCATGATGTCATGTACTTGATTGTCTGGTTCAGACTCGATTATTTACAGACCGCCGCCATATAGCTGGAATATTGCTGAGTGCGGCGTAAAACTAAACTCACTCACTCACTCACTATGATCTTTAAGTTGTATGCGCTTTGAGCACGTACTTGGTGTGTGGATGTAGCGCTAGAAGAACACATCATTATCATTCCTTTGTTTTCCTGTTATATTTTATTTTGTTGATGTACATGGGACCGAGGTCTTCATGCAATAATCATCTTCTTAACCCATATATTGTAGGTGACCCTAAGCAAATCCCTCAGGTGACCGGCTCCGGACAAGCGGTTGTACGTGTAAGGTCAATACGGGTATTAATGTCATATCCGACACATAGAATTGTTTGCGTTCAACAAAGTGAAAGTAATACAGATCTTTGACATGATCTACTAAAATGTTACAACATGGCTATGGTTGATATGACTGAGAGAAGGTGAGAAGTTCAATTTTTGGCCTACGCTAGCACATTTCAGTGTTGCTTACTTAGCGGTTACATAATTAATATACAGTTAAAATCCTGTTATTCCTGTTAGGAACGGCGATATAATCAAACTCGTTAATCCAGCAAATGTTTTAAAACGGACAAACACTTAGAACGGTGCCGTCTATATTAACGTGGTTTCGCTATTCTTACAAATGAGGTATGGTTTACACAGAGCGGAGAAAACAACATTTTACCTGGCACAATCCAAAACAGTCGGCGAGACATAAAAGTAATTCCGAAGAAAGAAGCATATATTAGGCATGTGAACTTCAATTATTGTCTTGTTATCAAAGACCCGCGAAGATGCGGTGTAGAATCTTCAACAACCTGTACTTGTAAAGGGCTACAAAGGGGATCGGGTGGTTAGACTCACAGACTTAGTTGACACGTCCCACCACATCCCAGTTACGTATTTCGATGCTCATGACTTCAATCACTCGATTGTCCTGTCCAGACTCGTTAATAACACACCGACGTCGTGTAGCTCATATATTGCTGCATGGGGCATTTAAAAAACGAACAAACAAAAATGTAGTTGTACCTAAGAAAAAGAAACTGTTCAGTTTGAAAAGCCAGAATGGTTTTGATGTTATGTGCCATGTTGGTCTTTCATTCCACATACTGGGGGCGGTGAGGTAGCCCAGCGGCTAAAGCGTTCGCTTGTCACGCCGAAGGCCCGGGTTCGATTCAGCACATGGGTACAATATGTGAAGGCCATTTCTGGTGTTCCCCCTGCTGTGATATTGCTGGAATATTGCTAATAGCGGCGTCAAACATAACTCACTCACCCTCAAACATAAAAGCGACAGCCAAAATAATGTCAATACCTTTGGGGGCGGTGGGGTAGCCTAATGGTTAAAGCGTTCGCTCGTCACGCTGAAGACCAGGGTTCGATTCCCCACATGGGTACAATGTGTGAAGCCCATTTCTGGGTTCCCCCGTCGTGATATTGCTGGAATATTGCTGAAAGAGGCGTAAAACCAAACTCACTCAAAGATAAAAGAGACCGCCCTAATGTTGACACCGTTGTTAACTCCTCGCGACGGCGAAACACGTGTAGTGATCGGAGGTGGGCGCTGGTCCCACCAGAACGCTGCAGTGTTTAAACGTGTGGGTGAGATCTGTGTGTGACAGCAGGGGTGTCAAATGTCCCCGGGGGCAGAGATAATCACTGGTTGGAAACCCGGCTCCGACACACAACACTCCAACCCTTTATCTATCCGTTTGTACTACTGTAAGTTGACATACTGCGATGGGCCACCAGGAACTGATCGACGGATTGTGTTGACGTTGGACAATACTGTTAATCTGGAGGAAGAACCGGTGAAAAGAAGAAGAACCCTTTGAAATATATATTTGACGTGAGTGAGAAGGAATGGACAGAATTGAAAACACGGAAGTTTGTTTGTTTGTTTGTTGTTTAACGCCACACTCAACAATATTCCAGCTATATGTCGGCAGTCTGTAAATAATCGAGTCTGGATCAGTCAATCTTGTGAATCAATAGCATGAGCATCAAGCTATGCAACTGGGATACGATGACAAATTTAAAATTACGAAAATATATTCGAAGTAATGAGAAAAAACCGAAATTTCGCAAACAATGAACGAATGATGAAATGATTAATTTCGCTCTCAAATATATAATTAGTGGCACTACAAGGCTATTGCAACATGTAAAGAAACCAAAGCTAAAAACGTAGACAAGGAATTTGATTTTGGTAAGTTTTCTCTGTCAGATAGACAGTTCAACCTTTAACAAGGAGCGGCGGGGTAGCCTCGTGGTTAAGGCGTTCGCTCGTCACGCCGAAGACCCGGGTTCGATTCCCCACCATGGGCACAATGTATGAAGCCCATTTCTGGAGTCCCCCGCCGTGATATTGCTGGAATGTTGCTAAAAGCGGCGTAGAACTAAACTCACTCAACCTTTGACATGACTTACCCAACAGTTGTTTACATGGAAACAAGTGTGTGCTTGTAACAGGGGACCTAGTCTCTCGTACAGACCCTGAAGCAAATATATCCAAGAAAGCCCACGCAAGTCTAGAAAATGTGGCAAGTCTAGATTTAGGGCTCCTTTTCATTATATTATATATTTTTTTACTATGAAAATTTTCAGTAAAATATGTTCATTTCAGAGACTAGTTGTTAGTCTACAGGGGACCTAACATAGTTTTTAAAGAAAGGGCTCAGTTTATTTTTCACAACATCCATTATGTCCACTGACTTATATGTTGGTGTCGGGGACACATTGTAATCGGTACACCTTTGTATCTGGAACGCAGCGCTGTTTGGACACCTTTTTATCTTGACCAAATTTCTGTTACACCTTGCTCTCTGAAGAGCCATTCTTCTGGAACACCCTGATATACGTAACACCCGGCTATCTGGAACATTCTATGATCTGGAGATCATATTGTTTTCGCAAACCTTTTACCCCCGTACCTTGTGTAGACACCCTATTATCTGGATTATCCTGCAATCTGGAACTTCCTGTTCTCTCATGAAACTTATCCAATCTAACATATAGTTCCACAGGCGGTAACGCTGTACGATGTCATATGTAGCCGAAACTGTAGGATATATAACAACATACAGAGAGCAACTGAGCGGAGACCTTCACGTTACACCAGTGGGTTGTCTCCCTTTGCTAGCATTAATAATATAAATCAACGATAAGTTGTACTTAGAAAAACAAGTACATCACTTGGAAGCTGTTATTTTACTCTGTAGCGAGTTTCAGCAATATTCCAGCAATATCACGGCGGGGGACACCAAAAATGGGCTTCACACATTGTACCAATGCGGGAAATCGAACCCGGGCCATCGGCATGACAGCAGCCGCTTTAACCATTAGGCTACCTCACCGCCCCTATTTTATTCTGTAATAAATACTAGAATTACATCATTTTAAAACTTATATTGGTACAAATTAAAAATGATCCGGATTAGAATCGGTCTTCAGCAACCCATGCTTGTCGCAAGAGGCGACTAACAGGATCAGGTGGTCAGGCTCGCTGACTTGGTTGACACATGTCATCGTATCCCAATTGCGTAGATCGATGCTCATGATGTTGATCACTGGTATGTCTGGTCCAGACTCGATTTTTTACAGACCGCCGCCATGTAGCTTGAATATAGCTGAATGCAGCGTAAAGAACAAAGAAACAATCATATAGATTTAATGATACCTATCTAGAGAGGACGTCGCTATGACGAGCATTGTTATAACTGATTCGGATCATAACACATCCATTGTATGGGCACACTATACACAACTTTACACTTCCTCAGTAAATTAGTACCTTTAGAGGGTTGAGTAGTCTGTCTCACAGTCCCTGAACCACATTAATTTCCCTACTGCCAAGCCCTCTCTGCAGTGCTAAAGCCATAAATAAAGCAAGTCTAGATTCCCTCAGGTTCTGAATCTCTGGTCTCCCTAGGGCTCCTTTTCAATATAAATGGAGCTTGTTTGTTACTATCAAAATTATATATATTCAGAGACTAAGCCTTAGTCTAAGGGTTGAGTACCATCAGGGATTGCAACCCTCTCCGCACCAGCTTTGAAAACACTGTCGTCACAGGCAGACGGGCGTGTAGGAATTCTCTACAAATTCTTTCACATATCTATACATTTATTGTATACAAAGATTGTTGCTGTAATCAAACCGAAATATTATATGAACACGTGACTTGACAGCTGGGAGGCTCAGGTGTCTGAATACCGATTTTCATGATAAGATACCGAGCTCATTTGCATAATTTTCATGTTTGTATGTCAAACGACTCGCGACTCGACTCGTGGATCTGTCGATCTGTCCCAAACAAAACGTGCGTAATTAACGAAAACGACAACTCCAATCCTTGTTTATAGGTCTGTGCGTTTGTACCACTCCGACTAAATCAAAAGCATGTGTTTATTTATCATTGCAGTCTCAAACCCGTCTCAAACACTCGCAAAGGCAGGTCAACTTGTTACAAGAAAAACACGGAAACGTTTGTTGAAACGTTTGTCAATTATTATTGCTAAATGGAACATTCCTTGGAGTGATTCCTTGACAGACTGACATTAATTATCTGACATTGAAACTTGTAATCTACATCATGAATAATTCATGTCCACAATCTATGTGAGCAGTAACTTATATCTTTTATCAAGACCGTGTTTTGAATTTGGCCTTGACCAAACTAAACAGAAATGCGTGGTATATATGGACCAGCCGTATGTTTGTCTGCCAGACAGAACCTGTTATCTGCTGTGTAGCTCTGAAGGTTGGGCTGAAGCACTGAAATATTATGTAAGTATATTTTCTACAAACACACGGTATCGTTTCAAGACATAATTTGTATATATATGCACAATATATTGTTACATATAATTGTTAAACAATATATACATTATATCGCTTGCCTTGTTAAGATCCAGTGGAGGGCCGAGGTATGAAAGTTATTACTAAATTTAGGCGCTTTTGGGGCATGGGTAGCCTGGAATCTTCTAGAACAATATACATTAATCTGGTATATTGTAGAATATTCTCGAAAGTTTAAAGACTGTATAAGGACAAATGCATGTCTAAATCTTCTTACCTAGTTCGATACTGTCCTTAACTCGAACTGCAGATGTATCTGCTAACGTACTGTTCAACTCAATTCGAAAACTAAACGTTTGTCTAACACCGGTACTCTCCTTATCTCGAACTGCAGATGTATCTGCTAACGTACTGTTCAACTCAATTCGAAAACTAAACGTTTGTCTATCACCGGTACTCTCCTTATCTCGAACTGCAGATGTATCTGCTAACGTACTGTTCAACTCAATTCGAAAACTAAACGTTTGTCTAACACCGGTACTCTCCTTATCTCGAACTGCAGATGTATCTGCTAACGTATGTTCAACTCAATTCGAAAACTAAACGTTTGTCTAACACCGGTACTCTCCTTATCTCGAACTGCAGATGTATCTGCTAACGTACTGTTCAACTCAATTCGAAAACTAAACGTTTGTCTATCACCGGTACTCTCCTTATCTCGAACTGCAGATGTATCTGCTAAAGTACTGTTCAACTCAATTCGAAAACTAAACGTTTGTCTAACACCGGTACTCTCCTTATCTCGAACTGCAGATGTATCTGCTAACGTACTGTTCAACTCAATTCGAAAACTAAACGTTTGTCTCACACCGGTACTCTCCTTATCTCGAACTGCGGATGACCTAACTAATGTTCTGGCTAGCTATTCTCGAAACGTTCGTAGCCCTGCGAACTTCTTAAGCCCATTCTTAACACATTGGCTACGATCACAGTTACGAATTTTTAGGGCTACGAACGTTTCGAGAATAAGGGCCCTGTTTTATTTTATTCAAATCTTTCACTGTTGTCTCACATCGATGCTATGTTTATCTCGAACTATGGATGTCCAAGCTAAAATATTGTTTCAAAGTGTTAAGATCCTAAACGATTATTTAACATTGGTACTCGCCTTATCTCGATCTACGGATACCCGATTGATCATCTTGTTCAACTGTATTCCAAGAGCATCGATACATACATGAAGCAAATGTCTCGATTTTTATAGTTGTTGACTGGTGTGTTTTATCAGCTTATATTTTTGTAAACATTTTATTGTTAATTTTAAACGATTTTCCAGCCAGAATGTAACGGTGTCAGAACACTACATTCGAGAGCAATGTGTTTTTTATCTTTCGAATAACGAGACACTTTGTTGACTTCAGAATTGGATTCAACAAAACAAATATTCGGGACAATGGCGACTGGTAAGTAGAACGTGATAGAACGTCAGTGTCACTACTTCCATCCCTCCGATTTAAATGATTACATCACCAGTGGAGTGACCAATCGTATGGCATCACAAGTCGCTTTGCATAGTTGCGTGGGCTGCCAGTATTCGTGACCCACTCGTGTTATTCCGGGACAAGGTTACGGAAAGGGGCGAGTGGTGACGAATGTAGCTGATCTTGAGCATTCTTAACTACTCGCTTCTTTCCGTGACGACATCGGGCTTGCCGGAATGACACGAGTAATTACGAATGTGGTCGGGATGGAATCCTGAATTCGACTCAGCTGTTATCCCTAATCTATCAGCAGTATTTGAACAGGTTTGGCCATGATTTGAAAATGAATGCACAGATTGTATCCCAATTCGTGGACTAGGCACTTGCAACCGTACAAATATTTTTGTACACATAAAAATGCTGACCGACTCGCAGCGGAATAAATATGTTTTGTACCAATCAAAACGCTATTCAATCTCATTAAACTCAAGTCCTTTATTCGATAACTCTCTACGAGAAGACAAATCCACTAGAGTCGAAACCAAGAGGTATGTAACGACTGACTATAACGTCCTCTTTCAGATTTCACGTATAAACCTGGCTTCAAAGCGACCGATGATATGAAGAAAGCATTCGATGAGTACGGATTCATAATCATCAGGTACGTCACACGTACGTTCACCATGACGTAATGTCCCTTATCCCGTGGATCTAGGTCCAGTGTCAAATGAACATGACGTACTGCTACTTATCTCGTGGATCATAGGTCCATGTCACACGAAATGACGTGTCCTTATCTATGGTATCTGACCGAGCGAAAGCGTGGATCTAACAGGGAAGGTCACCAGTGTCACACGAACATGACGTACTGCCAATCCTGGTGGATCTGGGTCCAGTGTCTTATCTCGCGGATCTGAGGTCCAGTGTCGCCACGAACATGTATTTTATTTATTACCCACGTCTTACATGCATTTAAACTGACTTATCTGGTGGATCTAGGTCATGTTTTGGTTTCAGAAACCGGTTTCATGTACTGTAGTACAATATTTGCATGACGTCACACTGAACATGACGTCAGTTGTAATCGCCTCGTACAGCCTGCTACTTATCTGGTGGATCTTGGTCCAGTGCTTCACTTGAACATCACTGGTGGAAACATTGCTTTATGTTATCTGGTGGATCTAAGGTCTCAGTGACTCACTTGAACAGCGACGGCAACGTTCGCTACATTCCCACAATGCATTTAAGTTGTAGAATGAATGAATTCACGTGGGTCCATGAAAAAGTAGTTACGTTGAATGTGACCTAATTGACGTCATCGGTTATCCAATCAAATCTGGTGGATTTCAGGTCCAGTCGTTACGACACAGGTCAACGCATGACACTCGTGTGACTTATCTGATGGATATGCAACTGGGTCCAGTGTACGTTGACCACATGTAATACGTACTACCACTTATCTCGTGGATCTGGGTCCAGTGTCACACGAACATGACGTACTGCCACTTATCTCGTGGATCTGGGTCCAGTGTCACTTGAACATGACGTACTACCACTTATCTCGTGGATCTAGGTCCAGTGTCACTTGAACATGACGTACTACCACTTATCTCGTGGATCTAGGTCCAGTGTCACTTGAACATGACGTACTACCACTTATCTCGTGGATCTAGGTCCAGTGTCACACGAACATGACGTACTACCACTTATCTCGTGGATCTAGGTCCAGTGTCACTTGAACATGACGTACTACCACTTATCTCGTGGATCTAGGTCCAGTGTCACTTGAACATGACGTACTACCACTTATCTCGTGGATCTAGGTCCAGTGTCACTTGAACATGACGTACTGCTACTTATCTGGTGGATCTAGGTCCAGTGTCACTTGAACATGACGTACTGCTACTTATCTGGTGGATCTAGGTCCAGTGTCACTTGAACATGACGTACTGCTACTTATCTGGTGGATCTAGGTCCAGTGTCACTTGAACATGACGTACTGCCACTTATCTCGTGGATCTAGGTCCAGTGTCACTTGAACATGACGTACTGCCACTTATCTCGTGGATCTAGGTCCAGTGTCACTTGAACATGACGTACTGCCACTTATCTCGTGGATCTAGGTCCAGTGTCACTTGAACATGACGTACTGCCACTTATCTCGTGGATCTAGGTCCAGTGTCACTTGAACATGACGTACTGCCACTTATCTCGTGGATCTAGGTCCAGTGTCACTTGAACATGACGTACTAGGCAGTGTCACTTATCTCGTGGATCTAGGTCCAGTGTCACTTGAACATGACGTACTGCCACTTATCTCGTGGATCTAGGTCCAGTGTCACTTGAACATGACGTACTGCCACTTATCTCGTGGATCTAGGTCCAGTGTCACACGAACATGACGTACTACCACTTATCTCGTGGATCTAGGTCCAGTGTCACACGAACATGACGTACTACCACTTATCACGTGCATCTATTTGGGCGCGTGAGTTTGTATGGAGACTAGATATCAATTCTACCTTCAGCTTTAAACCCAGACATCCCTATTGTTAAAACTATGAGCCGAGATGACTTGTTTTTATGAAAACAACACCAAACAAGAATGTAATTTTGTGGCAGACAATGTATTTCTATTCCATCAGTGTGAACCAAAATTATTTTGTTCAAGTATTTTCGGTGAAATATATGGGGCCAAATATATCTAAATGACAGCCCTACAGCACTAAACATCACCAGTGCCATGCCATATTTGAAGCACCTGATTCGGTAGCATGGATGACTGCTTGTCAACGTAACCCGAACTGTGCGGGATGTTGCTTATGATATCAGTCGTAGGTTTGTCTATGCCAGAGTTAGTGTTTGTAACAGGCCGGCGTTTTTATGATCCTATACTGTTATGAGCGCGGCATAAAACAACACTGAAAGCAGTAACACGTACATAAGAGAGTGTCTGCTTAACAGAGGGCTTCTCAACACGGCGGAGCTCAACAAGGTGAAGAAAGCGCTGGAGGAGAACGGCGAGATCCTCAAACATTCCTTCGGGGTACGTGTTTAACAACGGGTAGGGGTGGAACGATTCACCGAGCATTGTACCGACAGATCGTTTAAGTGTGAGTGAGTGAGTTGGGTTTTACGCCGCTATTAGCAATATCCCAGCAATATCACGGCGACTTCACACATTGTACCCATGGGGTGGGGGGATCGAACCCGGGTCTTCGGTGTTACGAGTGATCGCTTAAACAGCTGGGCCACTCCATCGCCCCATTATAGGTAGCAAGTGTGATAGGTGTTAAAAGAAGCCAAAGGAATACGCCATTGGTTGTTGTTTTTCTACTTGCATAGGTGTGGTGTGGTGTGGTGTGAGTATGGGTGTAGGTAAGGGTATACGAATGGGTGTGGATGTGGGTACGTGTAAAATATTCTTTGAGAATTTGTCTTCTTGCACATACCAGGGATAAATAAGTAAAGGATGGTACTTTTCATTGTGAGACTTGCAAATCCAGCTTACTGAAATACCCACGGTCCTTGCCATCACAATGATACAATGTAACGTGTGAGCTGCAGCTGAATATAGACTAGTGAGAGCTACTTTGAAATTGATTCAAACATAACACGCATTTCTAGCTATGCTAATATAATCAAACCCATTGCGCGTCAAAGTTGTCCGATGGAAACAACCGGAAGAGCCGTCTCTGTGTCTGGAGTCATCCCGGAAGTGACATCACGGGCATTGTGTCCCGGAGTGAGAGGGTTGCTGGCACTGTGGAAAAGGTAAAATGTTTTCATGATAACTGATGTTACTGATAACACATTATTATTTGACCCTGTGATTTGCTATTCGTTTCAAAATATACGGTGGTACCTCGGGACACAAGGACAATAGTGGTGCTATTTTTTCCCGAGACAAGGGAGTTAGCTGACAATGAAAGCCCAGTATCCTTCCACCACTCCAACTGGACTTACCTGCCTCGCTCGACAAGCGACAGCTACGGGTTATACCCCTTCTATTGACCAATCGGATTCCACCTTTCATTTCTCCTGAAATAAACACACTGTTTTCTGGATCATTTTCCTCGCAGACGAAGTGGGGTTAAAGGGTGTCGACATTCGGCTAATCCCGGAAGAACACGAGCAGTCACGAACGGAATATCGGCAGTACTCGGAGATCCTGGACTTTACGACTTGTAATCGCGATTTCTAGTGTACATGGGACTTTCGTTTCAGCTTCTTGGAGGCGAGGTGTACCACTACCACTCTAAACTGATGATGAAGGAGGCGCAGACTGGGGGAAGCTTTGTGTGGCATCAGGATTATGGGTACTTCTGAAGAATACATCATCGTATTCCCATCATTTTGTCATGCAAACATTTCTTAATTATAATGCAATTAAAGAGCTGATCCTTGCTTAAAGAGGAATTTTTTCTAATCTATTCATGTCCCCTTCATTTGATTTTATTCTTTTATTATTTGTGGGACCCGTGAAGATCCGGGTTAGAACTGATGTTCAGTAACCCATGCTTGTAAGAAGCGACTATAACTAGATCGAGTGGTCAGGCTTCCTGACTTGGTTGACACATGTCATCGGTTCCCAATTGCGTAGATCGATGTTCATGCTGTTGATCACTGGATTGTCTGGTCAGCCGCCATATAGCTGGAATATTGCTGTGTAAGGCGAAAAACTAAACTCACTCACCCATTCACTCATTATTCTTGGTGGTACTCGTAGCCCTAGGACCAAAGATACCACAAACGACGAGTTGTGTCCCTTAGCTGCTCTTGGATCCGCTAATCGGTGGTTTGAATCAGTTAGGTTATGATGCAAGGTCTTTTAGTGCCTTATCTGTACCCCTTTATTGACTACTGAAGTAAGCCGTCTCGTTTGTGGTCAAGCCCTGAAGATCAGGTTTAGATTTGGCCATCAGCGCCCGACCTTGTCGTGAGTGTCGAGTAACTGGATCGGGTGGTCAGGCTCACTGACTTGTTGATACACGTCATCAATCCCAATTGGAGAGATTGATACGCACGCTGTTAATCACTTGAGTGTCTGCTTCAATCCGGCATCTAGCTGGAGTGAGTGAGTATGGTTTTATGCCGTTTTAGCAATATTCCAGCAATTTCACGGCGGGGGACACCAGAAAACGGGCTTCACACATTGTATCCATGTGGGGAATCGAACCCGGGTCTTCAGTGTGACGGCAAACGCTTTAACCACTAGGCTACCCCACCGCCCCGCATCTAGCTGGAACTGTGCTAAGAACGGCATGAAACAACTAACAAACAAAATATATACTTGTATATTTCTGGGAAGATGTTCTAAATCGCTCTAAACTATAGTGTTTTGATTGACAGCTACTGGTACCACAACGGACTTCTCAAGCCGGACATGCTGGCCGTGTTCACGGCTATCGACAAGTGCAACAAGGAGAATGGCTGCCTTGAGGTGAGCACATGTACACGTGAAATGATACGGTATGAGGGGAAGGATGAAAAAAATCTCTTGTAATTTACAGTAGAGGAATAATTTCATATTTAAATAAGTCTGACCCTATCGTTTTGTTGAAATAAGATCCTGCATATAACATTAGTTAGCGTTTGTAAATCTACAATAATGATATGTTTATACCGTGGCAAGACTATGTATAATCGTCCACAACAGAGATGCTGCGTAATTGGTGCGGTTTCATTCCAAATACTAATATTTATACTTTCGGTAAGACCCGTGAATTCCCGGTTAGAACTGATCTTCAGCAACCCATGCTTGCCGTAAGAGGCGACTAACGGGATCGGGTGATCAGGCTCGCTGACTTGGTTGACATATGTCGTTGTGTCTTAGATTGTCTGGTCCAGACTCGATTATCTACAGACCGCCGCCGCGACTTCCAGTAGCTGGCGATTAGTTGCCTGACTCTGAGGGTGTGGGTTCGAATCCAGGATGAGACTCAACCCAACAAAAGTACCAGAATATGTACTTTACTGAGAAAGTGTAATATCAGATATAGCATATGTTACATTTGACCACTTTCCAAATGGCATTGTTATATTCATAACAATCAAACAGTCTGGCATTAACTGTTGGCTGTTTCAGATTCTGGAGAAGTCCCACAAGTGTGGTCGTATCGAACACAAGTTTGTCGCTGGCCAGATCGGGGCTGACCTCGACCGCGTGGAACTGATCAAGGCCACGTGCAAGCACAGATACGTCGAGTTGGAACAAGGTGAACCTGACCACTCCCAGCAGAAGTCTCGAAGTTAAAGCATAAAATAAACGCTTGTTTAAAATTTGGTCGAAAAATCATGTGGAAATACCTTTGTTCGCGAATGACATATGCGTATGGTGTTCAACTGCTTCCATTTGGCGTGACAGAGTGTGTAAGTGAGTATGGTTTTACGCCGCTTTTAGCAATATTCCAGCAATATCACGGCGGGGACACTAGAAATGGGCTTCACACATTGTACCCATGTGGGGAATCGAACCCGGTCTTCGGCGTGACGAGCGGACGCTTTAACCATTAGGCTACCCCATAGAATTCTAACCCGTGAAGATCCGGGTTAGAATTGATCTTCAGTAACCCATGCTTGTTCTAAGAGGCGACTAACAGGAACGGCTGGCCAGGCTCGCTGACTTGGTTGACACATGTCATCGTATCTCAATTGCGTAGATCGATGCTCATGCTGTTGATCACTGGATTGTCTGGTCCAGACTCGATTATTTACAGACCGCTGTCATATAGCTGGAATATTGCTGAGTGCGACGTAAAACTAAACACCCTGCCACACCCCTGCTCGTGGGTTTTACCCAAGTTTAAAATGGCTAAGACCTGTATCGCATTATTTCCTCATGCAATCGGACTCGTCGTACCACAACTGAATTATTATTCATAGCGACAAAACGCTCTCACAATTATTTCCAGAAGATACATTGTCAAAATAAAACAAACACGTACTTTTTCCCTTACGTTTTTTCGAGGCACATTGCAATCAAAGAGCTGTCTTGGTTTCGACCCTAAAACTTCTTCCTCATCAGCCATTCCCGTTCTGGTTGCTAGGCGACGCCCTGTTCTTCCACTGCAACCTGCTCCACAACAGTGCCGCCAACACTAGCGATAAACGACGCTGGGTCCTCATCACAGCCTTCAACACCCTCGACAACAACAGCGTCGTGGAGCACCACCATCCTCCTGGAACCAAGATAGATATCGTAAGCATTTATTTATGTTGTTTGTTTTGTTTCTTGTCGAACGCCACAACAGTAGTACTCTAGGTATATCAGAACGGCATGTATAAATAAGCCTGATCCATACGCACCATGCCATCGGGACACAATTATTTTTTATCACTTTATTTCTTTTTGATCTAGGTACAGCATTTCATACACGTTTAACAGGTCGGCATAATTGTTGTATTATACAGCAAGTCAAATTACAGTCATTATCTATGTAAATAGTCTGTGGTAAGACGACCAAAATGTAACAAAAGTGTCGTATTTGTAGTGAGAATAGGCATTAAATTTTAAGTAATTGTTAATTGTAATTCGATTTTTGTCATTTTCAATCGGGACACAATTAGAAATGTCGAATATTTTGTCGTTGGTTCAATTATTTTTCTCCTTATTTCAATTATTTTCTCGAAATTTCGAGTATATACTCGTTGCTTCAACTATTATTCCCAGGAAAGTTGAACCTACGAGAAAATACAAGAAACGTGAAGTAACGAGTAAATAATCGACACAACGATTGTTTTCGCTGAAACAAATTATGCTACAAAAGTGGCATCATTATGCTGTCCTATGTTGTCTGAGTATGTACACGTATATACTCACTCTATTATACACATCTCATTTGACATATTTAATAACGCGGATCAGGAAAACAATTTGGGAGAGTGACAAGAAAGTGAGTGAGTGAATGTAGTTTTAAGCCGTACTCAGCAATATTCCAGCTATATGGCGGCGGTTTGTAAATAATCGAGTCTGGACCAGACAGTCCAGTGATCAACATCATGAGCATCAATCTACGCAAATGGGAACCGATGACATGTGTCAACCAAGTCAGCGATCCTGACCACCCGATCCCGTTAGTCGCCTCTTACGACAAGCATGGGTTACTGAAGATTCTAACCCGGATCTTCCCGGGTTTAAGGTATGGAAATGTGTGCCCAATCCTTTTCCTTGTGAATAAAATATATGTTCAAATCAAAACCTTACCACAGGTGAGCGACGACGCTATTCTTGCCTGCACCAACTACAGCGACATGACCGGCAAACGCTTCATGGACCCCTCGGCCAACAAGACAATCAAGGTAGACAACTAGGTCAGAAGATTCGCATTTTGAAATTTCACGGTTGTCTCCCTTGACAATGTTAAAGAGGTTATAAAAACACGTCCCGCCTGTTTGTGTTAATTTATTCATTCATTCAAAGAGGAAACCTATTCCAAGGATCTCCAAACATATGGTCCAGCTTGTTCGAAGCAACAGAATGTTGGCGAACAAGACTTCTGCGTTGATGACGTTTGGCTAAATCAGTACCCGGATGTTCCTGTATCTCAAACTCCATTGACACAGAAGATGTGTGTTGACTTGAGCATTCTCGATGAAAGTGAAAACCATGGGCAATACGGCTGGCCATTCGTCACCACTCGCCCCTTTCCGTAACCTCCAAGAAGTTGCTATTCGGCTTGTCCCGGAATAACACGAGTTGGTCGCGAATGACGGCTGGCCGCAAACCCCATCACAGTAGTATATATTGATATAATTGATCTGACCCGGAGGGTCACCCTATGTTAAACCAGTAGGCAGTTCTACAGCTCCAAACTGTTACCTCTGCTCATAAACACAAACTATAACCATAAAGTACACAATCTAAAGTAAATATACACCCACGAAGTAACTATGCACCCACAAAGTAAATAAGTAGTGAGTGAGTGAGTTTAGTTTTACACCGCACTCCGCAATATTCCAGCTACATGGCAGCGGTCTGTAAATAATCGAGTCTGGACCAGACAATCCAGGGATCAACAACATGAACAACGATCTACGCAATTGGGATACGATGACATGTGTCAACCAAGTCAGCGAGCCTGACCACCCGATCCCGTTAGTCGCCTCTTACGACAAGCATGGGTTACTGAAGATCAATTCTAACCCGGATCTTCACGGGTTGCATCAATAGGAAGCTTAAGTGAGTGCATATGCCCAATATATACTCATGCCAATAATGGTTGTCACCCCCTCCCACCCCAACCCACACACACCTCACACACCCACCCCACCCCTCTCCAATTAAAAAAATTGAAGGGGGTGACAACCATTATTGGCATGAGTATATATAATATAGGCCAAAATTTTGTCGAAAATGTGTGACATTGTGGCTTTAAGTATTAAGATGGACCGATTGGGTCTAGGGCAAAATGATGACTCGCACCTCATTCAAGGAGACTTCAAGCAAAGGGAGGTAATCCTGATGTTTTCAGTTGGAAGTAATATCACGTTTTAGTGTTATTAAGTACCCAATAATTTATTAATAATGTCATTTTGTGTCAGATCAAGCCTTACAAGATAGACAGTTTAGAACACATGTAAGTACATGTTTAAAATAAACATACAGAATAATTATCATTTGTCTGTTCAAGATATCATATGCGAAAAATAAGTGGCAGTTCCTTTCACAAAAATTACTAATTTATTTGACGAGTTTTCCTCAATTAAGCATTCACATTATAACGCAGGAGGATATAGCATGCCTCATTAATTCTCAGGGGAAACACTTAGTATTTCGTGATAAATTTTGTTATTTTCCTCCAATCGTAAACGTACGTTTCGGTACGATCAATGGGCAACCAAACTCCTCTTGTCGTAAACATCAATTCAAGCAGCAAGGCAAAACAACAAGGTGGTCCGGTGAACTGATTTGCCTGCTTTGTTGGTTGGTTAGTAGTTGGTTGGTGTTTTTTTTGGGTTTTTTGTAATTTTTTTTAATTATTATTTTGATTGGTTGGTTGGTCGGTTGGCTGGTTAGTGGTTGTTGGTTTGGTTGGTTGGCTGGTTGGTTGGTTAGTGTTTGTTTGGTTGGTTGGTTAGTGGTTGTTGGTTTGGTTGGTTGGTTGGTTGGATGGTTGGTTGGTTAGTGTCTGTTTAGTTGGTTGGTTAGTGGTTGTTGGTTTGGTTGGTTGGTTGGTTGGTTGGTTAGTGTCTGTTTGGTTGGTTGGTTAGTGGTTGTTGGTTTGGTTGGTTGGTCAAGCTGTGTCTCAAGCTGACAGTCTATGTTGTCAATGACATGAATCTCTATAAATACCCACTGAATCTATAGAGGACGTCATTATCCCTGGTCGTTGGTCAAAATAACTAAAATATTCCGGAATGGTTGAGGTTTGAGTACTTAGTTTAAGAGAAAAACTCACAAATGAAAAGTTTCATCAATCTAATCACGCCCGTCGATGAGCGTATTTATCAAGCACCTCTTTTTCACATTTTCTCTTTTATAATGCACGAGTACTTAGTTTTAGAGCTTAGAAATACCCAAAGAAAGATTAAATTACGCTTGAAAGATTTTCTTTGTTTGATAATGCACGAACAACCGTGTGTAAGCATCACATTATCAATCAACCGATGGACATTATTGTTTTAGGAAGCCCATTACTTAGAGAAATCGTTACGACTTAACTGATTTGGTAGACAACCTTTTTCCCAGTAAATAATGCATTTCTCTCAATATTACTAACTATCAGACCTCAGGGAATAATTTATATCCCAAAAAATCACATATTCCGATTACAATATTAAATTTTAAAATTCTTATAAATAAATGCAACGTTGCATTAAACCGACTCTCGCGCCCTCTACCGGCCGAATATTATTTCAAGCGAACCCCATAGAGTTATGTCCCTTGGAGCGCTCTTTACGAATATCCTATAACGCAACTTGTGATTGAAACCAGTTCGGCAAACACCGACAACACTGCGTGCGACAGTTTTCGATGTGCGGAGCAATTGTTTACATTCCATATATGGCAAGCGTTCTCTGTTTGGAAGGAGTTCGCCCCAAAGTTTTAATTATCGACTTCCGGCAAGGGATAGTAAGTCTTTTATTGCATCAATAGGAAGCTAAAGTGATTGCATATGGCCCAAAATGTATAATATAGGCCAGAATATTGTCGAAAATGTGTGAAATTGTGCCTTTAAATATTGTGGGGGAGTATAGATTTTCCAACATTGTTCTGAAAGGGAACACCAGAAATGGGCTTCGCAATAGTACACTTACAGGGAATGGAACCCATGTCTCCTGTGTGACGAGCGAACACTTTAAACGGACCTAAACAGCTAAACATCATGGAACCCAGGTCTGGAACCCTGTGTGACGAGCGAACACTTTAACCACTGAGCTATACATCATGAACCCAGGTCTCCCGTGTGACGAGCGAACACTTTAACCACTGAGCTAAACATCATGAACCCAGGTCTCCTGTGTGACGAGCGAACACTTTAACCACTGAGCTAAACATCATGGAACCCAGGTCTCCTGTGTGACGAGCGAACACTTTAACCACTGAGCTAAACATCATGGAACCCAGGTCTCCTGTGTGACGAGCGAACACTTTAACCACTGAGCTAAACATCATGAACCCAGGTCTCCTGTGTGACGAGCGAACACTTTAACCACTGAGCTAAACATCATGAACCCAGGTCTCCCGTGTGACGAGCGAACACTTTAACCACTGAGCTAAACATAACCATGAACCCAGGTCTCCTCCCTTTAACCACTGAGCTAAACATCATGAACCCAGGTCTCCTGTGTGACGAGCGAACACTTTAACCACTGAGCTAAACATGTGACGAGCGAACACTTTAACCACTGAGCTAAACATCATATGAACCCAGGTCTCCTGTGTGACGAGCGAACACTTTAACCACTGAGCTAAACATCATGAACCCAGGTCTCCCGTGTGACGAGCGAACACTTTAACCACTGAGCTAAACACATGGAACCCATGAACCCAGGTCTCTCCGTGTGACGAGCGAACACTTTAACCACTGAGCGAACCCACTTTGAAGCGAACACTTTAACCACTGAGCTAAACATCATGAACCCAGGTCTCCCGTGTGACGAGCGAACACTTTAACCACTGAGCTAAACATCATGAACCCAGGTCTCCTGTGTGACGAGCGAACACTTTAACCACTGAGCTAAACATTATGAACCCAGGTCTCCCGTGTGACGAGCGAACACTTTAACCACTGAGCTAAACATCATGAACCCAGGTCTCCCGTGTGACGAGCGAACACTTTAACCACTGAGCTAAACATCATGAACCCAGGTCTCCTCCCGAACACTTTAACCACTGAGCTGATCGAGCTGTGTGACGACACTTTAACCACTGAGCTAAACATCATGAACCCAGGTCTCCTGTGTGACGAGCGAACACTTTAACCACTGAGCTAAACATCATGGAACCACTGTGACGAGCGAACACTTTAACCACTAAACACGAACCCAGCGTGTGACGAGCGAACACTTTAACCACTGAGCTAAACATCATGGAACCCAGGTCTCCTGTGTGACGAGCGAACACTTTAACCACTGAGCTAAACATCATGGAACCCAGGTCTCCTGTGTGACGAGCGAACACTTTAACCACTGAGCTAAACATCATGGAACCCAGGTCTCCTGTGTGACGAGCGAACACTTTAACCACTGAGCTAAACATCATGGAACCCAGGTCTCCTGTGTGACGAGCGAACACTTTAACCACTGAGCTAAACATCATGGAACCCAGGTCTCCTGTGTGACGAGCGAACACTTTAAACTGAGCTAAACACATGGAACCCAGCTAAACATAACCATGGAACCCAGGTCTCCTGTGTGACGAGCGAACACTTTAACCACTGAGCTAAACATCATGGAACCCAGGTCTCCTGTGACGAGACGCTAAACATCAGCGAACACTGACGAGCGAACACTTTAACCACTGAGCTAAACATCATGGAACCCAGGTCTCCTGTGTGACGAGCGAACACTTTAACCACATGGGCTAAACATCATGAACCCAGGTCTCCTGTGTGACGAGCGAACATCTTTAACCACTGAGCTAAACATCATGAACCCAGGTCTCCTGTGTGACGAGCGAACACTTTAACCACTGAGCTAAACATCATGGAACCCAGGTCTCCTGTGTGACGAGCGAACACTTCATAACCACTGAGCTAAACATCATGAGCTAAACATCATGGAACCCAGGTCTCCTGTGTGACGAGCGAACACTTTAACCACTGAGCTAAACATCATGAACCCAGGTCTCCCGTGTGACGAGCGAACACTTTAACCACTGAGCTAAACATCATGGAACCCAGATCTCCTGTGTGACGAGCGAACACTTTAACCACTGAGCTAAACAT